CACTCTTTCATAGCTAATCGCCACCCACACTTCCAGCACAGGTGGCAGGGGCACTGGAAAATCACTGACGGAGGTGTGGTGGGAGCCTCCTGTACCTTTGGAATCCAGAGTGACATGACTGAAGGGTGAACGCTCCAACCCCTGGAGAGGGTGGGGGAGAAAGAATAACACTAGATGGCAATACAGCTGTGGTTCTCAGTGGGGTCAATTTTGCCCCCCAGGAACACATGGCAATGTCCGGTGACACTGTCACCATTAAAGGAGAGCTCTAGGGAGTAGAGGCCTGGATGCCGTGAACATCCCACAGTGCACAGGCCTGGCCCCTCAGCAAAGAAATAGCCAGTACAAAATGTCCGTAGTGCTGCTGTTGAAAGAGTCCACACCAAAACCAAGGTCATCTCATTCACCTTCTCTGTAGTAGAGGATCTTTAGCCAGGGTGTTAACGGTCACAGCTGAGCTGAATAGTGACCCTTCTGGATCCGAGATAAGTATATAAATTAAAAAAATGGGAACCAGCAGTTAGCATAATGGCTATGTCGCTGAACTCCCACGTAGTCAACCGCGGTTTGTGTCCCGGACCCGGTGGCTTAAAAAAACTCACGCCGGGCGCGTGTGCGTGCGTGCCCAAGATCCCGAGAGGAGAATGGAGGAGAAGGGATTGCAGCGTGACCATCCCCCCTGGGGGGTGATTTCTCGCTTTCTGTCTCTATGCCTCTCTCTCTGTCTGTCTGGCGAGCACACGCGCCCTACAGTGAAAATCTCTCCAAAAAAAAAAAAAAAATTCTTATTTCTTTCTTGAGAGAGAGATACCCCTCACAGAATCTTGCCATGTTGTGATGTGCCCGGTGTGTTCAGGTCCACCTCAGGTTTGAACCAAGGCTTCCAAATGGCTCCAGCACAGTGCAGGGTGCCCCTGCATTGTTCACTGTGGCTAGACTGAGAGAAGTGTATATTTTTAGAAGTTTATTTGTTTTAAAATGGAAACGCTTTTTTATTGTGGATGAAGATAAGCTAACAAAAGTGTGGCCTTTAAAAAAATTAATTAATTTTAATTTGATGAGAGAGAGAGACAGGAGAGAGAGAGAAAGAAAGTGAAAAAGCAAGCCTCCAGGTCTTGACTTCAAACTGTGGTTGGCCTATTCATCTTTTACCTCTCTCTCACCAATGCAGTGCCTTGCACATAGCAGGCTCTGTGAACTTCGCTGAACTGATGAGATTTTGCAAATGGTAGGGTAGACTCTTCTGTGTAATTTGCTGTTCGAACATATTTACCTGAAACAACACCATTAAATAACTTTTGTTACTGGTGCAAGTCATAGACTGGGCATTTGCACATGTCATCTCATTTCATCTTTAGGACTACCACGGAAGGCAGGTAGTAATTATCCTCATTTTCCAGATGAGGAGACTAGGGCTTAGAGAGGCAGGGTGACATGCTGGATGGGAAGTGGCAGATCTGGTCTCAAACTCAAAGCCTGTGCTGTAACCATTGAGCTATGCTGCCGAACTGGGGCAACCAAATTCTTGACTTCCTGGATGTCCTCTTTCAAATGTTTCCTAGGTCTGGAATGTGATGCCAGCAACTCTCTGGAGCCTTACGGAGCCAGAAGCCAGAATTGGAGTTCATACATTCTAGGAGAAGTTTCTACAGCCAAGGCCCTGTGAGGTGGGCGAGCCTACCTTCGACTTCAAAGAAAGTCAGAGAAATTGATTAGGAGAAATATCTTCAGGAAATTGGGTGTTTCTCTTTGATGCAAACGTTTAAGACTATTGAGTAATTGGAAAAGTCATGATGTATTTTTCCATGTTTTTCTATGCAAAAACACATCACAATTTTTCTGATGACCCAGCATTTTCATTAACACAAGTTGATGTTCTAAGGCAAATCTATCCATTACATTCAATGGATGGGTTCTCTAAGTGGACTTTTCACTTTGGGATGATGTAAGTTGACTTGCTGAAGCCCACATAAAAATAAAAAAAGTCCATGAATTTATGACAGGCTTTGGAGTTGGGTAGTCTGATTAAAATCCCAGTTTAGTAAGCTAGTTGACTTGGGCCAAGTTAATTAACCCCATGTCCGTATCCTTAAAATGTGAATGAAAATTCTGACCTTGCAGACTTTTATGGCAATGGAAATGATATTTGTAACAGCCTCAGTCGGTGCCTTGAATGCAGTAGGCACTCTGTCAGTGTTAGTGATTATGAGAATGTGCAGAGGGGCAGGCGTGGGGGTGAGGGCATAAGATTAAGACTTGCCTCCTTCCTGGAGAGAAAACCCGGGCTGCAAGTGAATCAGCAAGAAGCTGAGAGCAGCCTTGAGGCAGTATATCCCCAGCATGTGACTGGGATTGAGATGAAAACATTTTGTTAATTTGTGAAGTTCTCATTAAATAAAGGGAGAAAGACCATTTTCCTTAGGACTTTAAATATGCTAATTAGCTTTATTAAAATCCCAAGAAAGAGCTCTAAAATCATAATTTTCTAAATTTATTTGACCATAGAACCTTTTGATCAAGGCCACCCTGGGGGATCTAATTTTGCCCTGACAAGCCCTGGGAAAGCTCCAAGTACCAGATAAAAATTGAAGAGTGAGTTAAATTGTACTTATTCAAGTCTAGTGACAAGACCAGAACTAGAATAACTTTGCTGACAGCTTAGACTTCGTAACAAGGACTAAGTTGTACTTAGACATTTACTTATTTTTTTAAATCACTTTTTGTCTGTAAACTTGTTGTATATGATGATATATTCTGACTGCTCATTGGTTAGTAATGTCACTTCAGTAGCATTAAGCTTCCATTTTAACATAGTATAAAAGAAAAGTATGCTAATTCTTTGTCTAGAAGCAGCATACCCAGGATGAGTGTATGTATTTTCTTGTTTTTATTTGTTTGTTTGAAAGAACAAATTAGTAACTGTATGAAGAGGCAGCAACTATCGCCCCCTCATCCTCAGCAGATCCTGGGTAAAGAGGAATGTTTCCTCACTTTGACCCAGAGATAATGACCACTGTCCCACGATTTATTCCTTTACTCACAATTATAAGAGGTCTACAAAAAGTTCATGAAAAATGGGTATTAAGCAAAAACTACGCATGCATTTCAAAAATTTTTGTTCCCCAAAATAAACTCATACTCTTATTCTATTTTCCCACAAACTTTTTGAAGTTCTCTCAAATAGGCAATTCTTTTCTAAAAGTGTCTTTAAATTTTTTTTTTTAAATTTTATAATCAATCACTGTATATCGTTACAGCATACAAAATGAATTTTCCCATCCAGAACACACTGTACATTGGCTCAAAGATATCACCATATATATTATCAACAGATAATTTTCCATTTTGTGTTTCTTAAATGTTTTGCTTCTTTCTTTCCCCCCTTCATTCTCTCCCTCTTATCCTCTGCCATTTCCCACCTTCCACATTATTCACAATTGTGAAGAAATGGAACCAACCCAAATGTGCATGCACAGATGAGTGGACTGAAAAAATGTGGCACATATACACTGTGAAATACTACTCAGTCATAAAAATCAATGAGACCTTAGCTTTTGATAGAGAGTGGATGAATATGGAAGGTTTACTGCTAAGTGAAACAAGCAGTAAAGGGAGACACTATATGTCCCCCAAAGTGCTTATTTATTTATTCATGAGTGAGAAAGAGAAAGAGAGCAGGAGAGAGAAAGACAGCAACACCAGCAGGGTCTGTGATCCACTCCCAGCTTTAGTTGACCCTAGATCACAGCCACCTGCACATCCAATGTACTCAGGGAGCTCTCCGGATGTGAACCTGGAACCTTCTCATGTGGGTAGGCATCATGGAACATTATGCTTTATTGCTGCGTCACTGTCCAGCCTCTATAGGTAACTCTTAAGCCTTCTCACTATAGTCGAATACCAGAAAGCAATTTAGTAAGAGGGATTAATTCTAGTTGGTGACAACTTGCCAGTTTTATGGGTGGAAAAATAAATATCCAGTGTTCAGCCACCAAGACACCCTTGCACAGAAGATTTTGGCAGGTGAGGGATTAGCAGGTAGCCCATTAGACACTACTGCTCTAAAAGGTCCTACAGTGAATAAGGGAAATGCTGCTGTGAATGGCAGTCTGGATATTTCTATCAGTTTCATTCATCTGCTAAGAAGACAATCCTGACCTGCTAAATAAGGTGATGCTTTGGCAGGCTCAGGTGACATGGATTAGGGGAACCCAACCCAAATCTGTGCTTTTGTGATCTGCTCGCCACCTCTCTGCATCACGCTTCACCAGCACATGCCAGGTGGCAGAGATTAGCCACACGCAGGAGTCTGCCACCCTCAGCACTAGAGCCAAGGGAGGGGAAGGCATTGGAGACACTGATGTCTGTCCTTGTTTGCTCTGGGCTCTCACCTGAGGCTTCAAGTGAGCCTGGCGCAGCTTTCTTCCTAGGGAGGGTATTTGATCTTCCGCTTTTAAAGGAATTTCAAAGAATATGAGAAAGACTTCATCAGGAAGGACTGACATTCAATTAATGGGTGGAGTGTCTTAAAGAAGAACCCGATGCAGAATTCTCTTCATTGGGTTGTCTTTGGATGGGTGACATCGATTTAAAGATCCAAACATTTGTTGATGGACATTACGCATTCAATTTCAAAAATAATTCTCAACATAGGGTAGATGCCTCCTCTTATAAATATTTTATTTATATTTAAAAATACTCTTTTCATTTATTTTATTCCTGATAGAGAGTATGTATGAGAGAGAGAGAGAGAGAGAGAGAGAGAGAGAGAGAGAGAGAGAGAGAAAGGAGAGAGAGAGAGAAGCACTCCACAGGATCTTGTCAGGTGGGCAATCCCCTTTCCTTAACCTTCCAGCTTCTAAGGATCTGGCACGTGTGCTCACACCTGGTGTTTTTTTTTGGAGAGGTTTTTTGCTATAGGGCGCGTGCACTCACCAGACAGAGAGAGACATAGAGACAGAAAGCGAGAAATCACCCCCTAGGGGGGATGGTCATGCCACAATCCCTTCTCCTCCATTCTCCTCTCGGGATCTTGGGCACACATGCACACGCGCCCGGCGTGAGTTTTAAGCCACCGGGTCCAGGATGTGAACTGCGGTCGACTACGTGGGAGTTCAGCGACATAGCCATTACGCTAACTGCTGGTTCCCCACACGTGTATGAGAGAGAGAGAGAGAGAGAGAGAGAGAGAGAGAGAGAGAGAGAGAGAAAGGAGAGAGAGAGAGAAGCACTCCACAGGATCTTGTCAGGTGGGCAATCCCCTTTCCTTAACCTTCCAGCTTCTAAGGATCTGGCACGTGTGCTCACACCTGGTGTTTTTTTTTGGAGAGGTTTTTTGCTATAGGGCGCGTGCACTCACCAGACAGAGAGAGACATAGAGACAGAAAGCGAGAAATCACCCCCTAGGGGGGATGGTCATGCCACAATCCCTTCTCCTCCATTCTCCTCTCGGGATCTTGGGCACACATGCACACGCGCCCGGCGTGAGTTTTAAGCCACCGGGTCCAGGATGTGAACTGCGGTCGACTACGTGGGAGTTCAGCGACATAGCCATTACGCTAACTGCTGGTTCCCCACACCTGGTGTGTTTTCAAGTTGACCAGAGGATCCTAACTCCTAACCCACACTTGGCCACATGGCTTCTAGTCGTTCAGCTTACTACCTACTGCACCACCAGGTTGGGCCTAGATTCCTCCTTTTATAAATAAGAAAAGAGAGACTCAAGGAGGTCAAGCAGCCATGTAAAGTCATCACTTGCTGAGAAGTAGAGATGGGATTTGAACCCATGGTATTTGAAGTCCATCATTTCAGATTTTTTGTTAGACCATATCTATCTTATTCTTGTGTGGCATTTTGTAATTTTCAAAGGACTTCCCATGTACATTACAACCTACAAGGTTTACCACAAATCATTGAGATAAGAAAGTGTCTGACAGATTAGGACACAGCCTTAATATGTTAAATCATGGCCCAAGATCACCCAACCCAAGTTCATTCTATTGTAGGTCTCACTCCCTACTATTCTAGTTGGTTTCCTTACTCTCCACTCACATTTGGCTCCTTTTCCCTATCATTCTTTGGTGAGTTTCTTGAGGATGCAAAATCATCTTGAAAATAGCCAAGGTCAGACATGACATAAGGTATTCCCTTCCCTTATATTCCCAAATAGTGTTCTAGAAGTAGCTAAATATACTACTAGTTTTTTATGTGTCAAGCACTGCACTAAACATTTTATAGTTATTTAACTTGTTTAATGCTTACAACAATCCTATAAAGTACGTGCTATTGTTAACCCCATTATATAGTTGATGAAACCAGACACATAAAAATTAAGTAACTTTTTCAACCAAGGTCAAGGAGCTGGTGAGTATGAGGTTGAGATCCAACCTGGCAGACTGGCTCAGACAAACTGTAGATGGAGAACTCAGAATTAGCTGCAGAACACTTGAAATCACTCTACTTAGGTCACAGTTTTTTCAGATCAAACCTGTGCCCTAGATTAACTTTTTCAGAAACCAACCTAGGGAGACAGTTTGGCTGGAATTCTGGATATACCTACTACCTATTTCCCAGGGAGTCAGTCCTTCCTGCACCTGTCATACCCTATAAACCTAATGCGTAGACAACGACCTGTGTATTTGCTCTTGCCATGTGTGGAGTGGTTGGGTGTGGAGGTGGGTTGGCAAGAGAATGGGGGTGGCTAAACTCTAGCAAGTTAGAACAGTAACTCATCTGTGTACCTGTTCTTCTACCAAGGGTCTTTTACTCCCCTCCTCTCCCACTGGCCTGACCCAGATGGACTACCCATGTTCTAGATGAGGGCTTCTCAAATTTCTTATACATAATGATCATCTGGAGGGTTTGCTAAAAATACAGACACTTAAGGTCTTCCTTTGAAGATTTTCATACATGGGACTGGAGTGGGAGCTGAGTCTAAATATTTTTGTGCTTAGACATAGTCACTGGGCACTTTATACATTTGTGGTGACTTACCTTATACTAGGAGCTGGACATTTACAATGGGTAGGACTCAATCCCTTCCCTGGAGAAGCTCAGGACCTGAACGGGTATACTGACAAGTAAATAGGTAAGTACCTTGTATGTAAGGGCCACAATGGGAAACACACAAGTGTAGTGGTGGTGAGACAGGGAGGGGTATCTGTCCCAGACCTGGTGATAGAGCAGGAGGAGATCCCAACCACCAGCCCTGAGTTGGGTCCTAAACACAACACATGCTCCTGGGGTCTCCAAGCTGACTTGAGGCATCAGGAGGGTCCCCACATTCTGTCCCCACTTGCTTGTGGATCCAGAGATCATTTGCTGTTGGTCTGGGATGGTGGCTGGATCACGTGACCTCAGACCCCTCCCCTTGCACATGTCCTTCTCCCTGGCCAAGCCTCACACTTGATTGCTCCATGTCAGGAGTTTCCCTGTTCCCAAGGGCGGACATGGTAGCTCCACTTTAGTTTCTTTCACACAAACAGTATTTCACAGCTCAAACTCTAGGCCTGTTTAAATGGATGCCTTTGGTGGAAGAGTGAACCCTGGGAGATCAGGGTACCTCTCACCCCTCAACCCCACTTCAGGTCCTCTCTAAAAAGTTGGGACAGGCAACATGGCACCAGGAGATAATGTCCAACATTGAGAGAAACAGGTTCAGCCACTGCTGGGGCCTGTGAGTGCTCTGACATCGCAGGGAAGGACCCAGCCCACCTAGAGGAGGGCACCTGGTCCTCACTCCTGTGTCACAGTGCTCAACAGCTCCTAATCCCTTGGCACCAAAGCCAAATCATCCCGTTGGATAAGATGCTGCTTGCTTCCCTAAGACCCTTGAGGAAATCACACCAAGGAAGGGAGGAGAGCTCCAGTCTTTTGTCAACGGAAGCAAGTTTAGTGATTAAGCTAAGACAGCAAAGCCATTGGTCCAGAGGATTATCTCTGAGGTGTGTTGGGAACCAAGAAGTAACTTATTGCCTGCAAGGCAAGCCAAACCCAAGATGACTCTCAGCTAATTGCTTGCCTCTCCTTCTGCCAAACCAAACTCCCTGGTATATAAAGGCCAGTCTCCTCTGTTGTCCCCATCCTCTGCCTTTGTCCCTCTCTGCTCTCGCTAAGCCATTGCTAGCTCATCTCTTTGCTTTCACCATGAACAGACAAGTCTGCAAGAAATCCTTCAGTGGTGGGAGCCGTGGCTTCTCTGGACGCTCTGCTGTGGTCTCTGGTAGCAGCAGAATGAGCTCTGTGGCCCGCTCTGGGGGAGCCAGTGGAGGGGCCTGTGGGGTCCGGGGTGGAGCAGGTGGCTTTGGCAGTCACAGCCTCTACAACCTGGGTGGCAACAAGAGCATCTCCATCAGTGTGGCAGGTTGTGGCTCCCGGGCTGGAGGACGTAGCAGCTACGGCAGTGGCTTTGGAGGCAGCTATGGAAGCAGAATGAGCTCTGTGGCTCGCTCTGGGGGAGCCAGTGGAGGGGCCTGTGGGATCCGGGGTGGAGCAGGTGGCTTTGGCAGTCACAGCCTCTACAACCTGGGTGGCAACAAGAGCATCTCCATTAGTGTGGCAGGTTCCCGGGCTGGTGGCTTTGGTGGAGGACGTAGCAGCTGTGTCAGTGGCTTTGGGGGCAGCTATGGAGGTGGCTTTGGGGGTAGCTATGGAGGTGGCTTTGGTGGTGGCTATGGAGGTGGCTTTGGTGGTGGCAGAGGAATGGGAGGTGGCTTTGGTGGAGCTGGTGGTTTTGGTGGAGCTGGTGGTTTTGGTGGCACTGGTGGCTTTGGTGGAGTTGGTGGTTTTGGCCCTGGTGGCTTTGGTGGCCCCGGTGGCTTTGGCCCTGGTGGCTTCCCTGGGGGAATCCAGGAAGTGACTGTCAACCAGAGCCTCCTGCAACCCCTCAATGTGGAGATCGACCCTCAGATTGGGCAAGTAAAGGCCCAGGAGCGGGAGCAGATCAAGACCCTCAACAACAAGTTCGCCTCCTTCATTGACAAGGTGAGGGCAAAGCCTAGAGGTGTTGCGGAGGGTTTACGCTGCTCAGGGGTTTGGTATAGGAAGATACCAGGCTGGGAAGCAGGAGGCCTGGTTCTGCCTTGGTCTGTACAGGATAGAGAACATACTACTTATACTCTTCGGGCCCAGCTATAAAAATGGGAGAAGGATTCCTGGGCTTAATTTCCTTCTAAGGATGAGGTGAGGCAATGAGATGAGGGTCTACACAGGCTCTTAGCTCTTTGAAGAGTGGGGCCTGAGCCATGAAATTGGTATGGTTAACTTCCAATTCCCCTTGAAAAACAATCACTTGGCAGTCCAAACTAGCTGGTAATCCAAACTTGCACTCGTGTGAATCTTGGGACCTGCCTCTCAGTGATGAGTGTTGGCAGCCAACTTATCTTCCAAATGATGCTGTGCTTCAGCCAATATGAAATTGAGCAGTCCGTGTTGGGACAGAGAAGCTGCGCTGGGTCTGAGGATTTGTAAAAGATCCAGGTCAGCTGCAAACCAAGTAACTGAAAGGAAGTCCTCATATGTGAACCTTGTAAGGAAATGTGTTCCATTGCCTTTCTGGAGGTGAAAAAGGTTACATCTAAAAAGCAATGATTAATAACTTTATTTACATTGGCCTCCTTTAGTTGTATTCTGAAGGGTCCTGATAGATCTAGAACAGTCTTGGGTTTGACTCTTACCTTTGTCACTCAGAATTCATGTCACTTTGGGTAACTTAAATTCTTTGAGCCTCAGTGTTTTTATCTGTAAAATAGTGATCTTTTATAGGTGGTTGTGAGGAGTAAATGAGAGAATATGTGATAATAGCAGGCATAGCATATGCTTTAACAAATTCTAGCTTTTTCTTTTCTAAATCCTTATCCTTTCTGTATTTCAGAAAATACAGGCAATTGCAGGTTGAAGATCAGGTTCATTCTTCACCTTTCCCTCCTTGGGGAATGGGTGGCCCCACCTGGCCAACATAAAGGCTGACTTCTTTTATTCCCTCCCCCCGACCATTGTAGGTGCGGTTCCTGGAACAGCAAAACAAGGTCCTGGAGACCAAGTGGGAACTGCTCCAGCAGCAGACCACAGGCTCTGGCTCCGGCCCCCGCAGCCTGGAGCCTGTCTTTGAATCCTACATCAGCTATCTGCGCAAGCAGTTGGATACGCTTGTTGGAGAGAGGGGGAACCTGGAGGGGGAGCTGAAGAGCATGCAGGACCTGGTGGAAGACTTCAAGAAGAAGTGAGGCCCCAAATGGGGAGTTTCCCTTTCTGGGCCATTAGCAGGGAGGCTTGGTCTTAATTTGGGATTTCAATTTTTCCTGACTGCACCTTCTGTCAATACTCTTTGATGGATTTATTGAGTGAAGCATGACCGAGCAGAAGTGAGTGAAAGGGTGGGGACTGAGATCCTACGTGGCTGATTGTTACACATTTTTCAGTTTCCAGGGAGGCCCCCTCTTATACATGCTCAGATGGACAAAAGAGACTTCCCAGAGTTTAAAGTCCTTTAGGATGGGGAGTCCTTCACACTAAATGTACACAGGAATCAAAAAGGCATATTACTGTATTCTAGTCCTCGGTACTCTGAAGCAGTAGGTGTGGGGCAGGTTCCAGGACTCTGAGTATTCCTAGGTCCTGGGGACTTGAAGTAGATGGCCCAGGGCTGCACTTTGTAAAGTACTCTTTTACTGTATGTGGTATAGTCCTGTATCTGCAACTTTAGTCAGCTTCTTTCAGCAGGTTCCAAGTCATAGTTCATGCCCTCTGAGGTCTGTGAAGGGTAAATTGAGTCTTTGAAGGTGAGAGGGAGACATCCCTAAGGGTCAGGACCTGTAGGACTGGCCATGCCTGCTCCAGGGCAGCCCCTTTCCTGATTGGCTGCATCTGTAATGGGCTTTGTGCGGAGCTCTGGGAGGCCAGTGGCAACTCGGATTGGCATTGCCTGGAAATTTCTTCTTTCCTAGAATTCTTCAATCTTAATGAAATCCAAACACCTGGTAGGACATTTTAGTTCTTAACAGTCAGAAATCCTACAGCCTTGATGCATACAGAAGACATGAGTTCATTCTTACCCCCAGTACCTATAAGAAGCAACTATAATTAAGGAAAATAGAAGCAGAGAAAACAGACAGAAGCACCTGGTGAGAGCAAATATCTCTGGAGCCCAGATGTGCACATTGTGCTTTGTGCAGTAGATCAAAGTGCCCAGGGATGTAGACAGGCTCCTTAAAGTCTCACTCCACCTGGATTGCACACATCTCTGCTTCTCACCAGACTTGGACTCCATGTGAGCTCAGTGCAAAATAATGCAGGATCCTTGTTAAAAAAAAGTCCAGAGACCAGCAGTTAGTGTAATGGCTATGTTGCTGGACTCCCATGTAGTCAACCGTGGTTCGAGTCCCGGACCCAGTGGCTTAAAACTCACACCGGGCGCATGTGCATGCCCAAGATCCCGGGAGGAGAATGGAGGAGAAGGGACTGCAGTGTGGCCATCTCCCCTGGGGTGTGATTTCTTGCTTTCTGTCTCTCTGTCTCTGTCTGTCTGGTGAGTGCATGCGCCCTATAGCAAAAACCTCTCAAAAAAAAAAAAAAAGCCCAAAAACAAGAAAGGGCCCAGCCAGTGGTGTGGTGGTTAAGATGGCTGGATTCCATATGGACGACTATGTGGTTTGTGTCTCAGATCCAACAGCTTGAAAAACATGCTGGGTGTGTGTGCACATGTGCCCCAAATTTTGAAAGCAGGAAGAAATGGAGGAGAAGGGAGAAATGATTGGAGTGTGACTATCTCCCAAAGGGGGTGCTTTCTTACTCTCCCACCTTTCTCACTGTCTCTTTCTGGAGACTGCACACGCCTTCTGGCAAATTAAAAAAAATAATGATTTTTAAAGAGAGACTTTTGCTATAGAGCCTGTGAGCTTGCCAAAGAAACAGGAGAGAGAGAGAGAGAGAGAGAGAGAGAGACAGACAGAAAAAGAGAAATCGCCCCTAAGGAGGGAGGGCCGTGCCACAATCTCTTCGCCTCCATTCTCTTCCTAGAATTTTGGGCATGCCTGCACATGTGCCTGGTGTGAGTTTTAAGCCACTGGGTCTAGGAGTTGAATGGTGGTGGACTACGTCAGAGTCCATTGATATAACCATTATGCCATCTGCTGGTCTTCCTCCCCCCCAGTTATTAATATAGGCTCCCCCCCCAAAAAAAATGGTTAATATCGGCTGCCCTGTAGCACAGTGGCTAAGCTTGTACACAGGAAGTGAAATCCTCCATGGCTGTTTGTGATTCAGATCTTGGCTCTGGCACTCTAGCATCCTGAAAAACACACTGGACATGTGTGTATGTATGCCCAGGTTCCTGATGGGATGCAGAAATGGAGTAAAAACAGATTGAGGTGTGACCAGGCCCAGTTGTGGGGGTACTCTCTCTTCTCTCTCTCTCATGCACACATATGCTCTCCGACAAAAAGTAAAACAAAACAAAATAAAAAAAAAATAGAGCAAAACAAAAAGCCCACAAAAAAATATTTTCTTTGCTAACAGCAAAAACAAAACCCAGAAACCCCGGAAATCATCAAGAATGTGAAGATGGTGCTAGCAGAGCATTAAAATGAAGTAAATACCTTCTGGGCCCAGGGGACTCATGACTGCACAGGTCACAAGTCCAGGCAGCTGGTCCCGTCTCCATGAGGAGATTCTGCACGAGTGCTTGGGATCCTCACATCTGTTTCTGTCACTACTGTAATGTCCAGTGTGTGCCTCTTTCTGTTACAGGTATGAAGATGAGATCAACAAGCGCACTGCAGCAGAGAATGAGTTTGTGGGGCTCAAGAAGGTAGGTGGACCAGAATAAGCAGATCCAGGCATCCTTTCTCGGTGCTGTCCCTCAGGCAGAGGGCTGAGCCTGGTGCCCTGGGCACACTGACTCTATGCGTTGTGCGCAGGGTTTGCATTTTCCCTTACATTTTTGGAAATGAGGTGTTTGATGAAGGAAGCTACTGAGTATATTGCCAATGGGGAAAACACCTTAAAATGCTACTATGACTAATGAGCTCATTAATAATGCGAACTAATAATGAGCTTTTTATGTGGAGCATAAATCAAGATGGTCCACCTATAAATGTACCCCAGATGTTAATTCACAAATACTTGTAGCTTATTTAAAGCAGTCATCATAAAGATAAGGGAGTGAGCATACCCTCATCTTTTCTCTAGAGGTTGGGTTTTTGGTACTAACATACCTCAAAGGTATGTGTGATTTTCCTTACTTAAAATGACATGTTTGGCTAGTATGATTTTTATTTTGTTAAAGCATTGGGGTTTAATTGGTCAAAGCAATTAAAAGTAAGCAAACCATTCAATTTTCTTTCTTATACAAGAGAAGGTGAGAAATCACAATCAGGAGGAAGGTTAAGGGAAGGACAGAGAGGAGAGGCAAGGGCTCAGGAAAGAGCTGTGTTGGGGGGAGCAGAGGGTCACTCTGGGTTTCTGCCCTCCTCTTCAGGACGTGGATGCAGCTTTCATGAATAAGGTGGAGCTGCAGGCTAGAGTGGACAGCCTGACAGATGAAGTGAACTTCCTGAGAACCCTCTATGAAATGGTGAGTCCTTGGTTTGCCAAGTTCCAGAGCCTTGCTGTCTGATCTTTCCGAATACGCTTTCCAAGTGCCACTTTAGGGCACTTAGTGCCCTTAGCTCACCCCACATAGCTCACCCAGCAACAGAGTTCAGAACTCAGCTCTGTCCCACCCAGGAAATGTTCATGGAGCTCCTCCAACCTGCATAGACCTAGCCCACAGGGCCAGGGTCCTTCTCTGTCCTTAGCCCATTTTGTTCTAAACCTTCCCTCTGGCTCCTAGACCAGCATCACAGTAACTTTTCCCTAATATTCCTCTCCACTGTGGTCCCGTGAAAACCCACGCAGCAGGGATGGGATCTCTTGCTGATACTTTCAGGCTGACAACCTAGTTAGATTGACTTATTTCCCTTTAGCCTTGTTGTCTGGCATTCTTTCGGCTGTAGCTAGGTCTGAAATTTAAGCTTATTTGTCTAACCGACCCTTCTTAGCTGCATTCTTGGGTTATTGCAGCTGGTAGAGGATTCCCAACATGCCTCGTGATAGGGGATGGTGAGAGTGACCGTCATGTTTCCTGTAGGAGCTGTCCCAGATGCAGAGTCATGTCAGTGACACGTCCGTGGTGCTGTCCATGGACAACAACCGCTGCCTGGACCTGGACAGCATCATTGCCGAGGTCCGTGCTCAGTATGAGGAGATCGCCCAGAGGAGCAAGGCGGAGGCTGAGGCCTTGTATGAAACCAAGGTGGGAGCCTTCCCTTTGTCCCTATACTGTAGTTTTAGATCCTGATGACCTTTATCAAGAGTGTGCCATATTGATGGGGTTTTCTTCTATCAGCTTGGAGAACTGCAGACCACAGCTGGCAGGCATGGAGATGATCTGAGGAACACCAAGAGCGAGATCATGGAGCTCAACAGGATGATCCAGAGGCTGCGGGCTGAGATAGAGAATGTCAAGAAGCAGGTAGGTCTGGACTTATGGAGAGATCCTGAAGGTCTTCTGGGAGGAGAGGCACCAGCTGTGCTTGCTGTTACATGTTTTCTCCATTTTTTCATGGTGTCACATGTGGAACAGCAGTGTCTGGGAACCTCCATTCGCCAGATCCTCCTGGAGTCTGGGCTTCTTGGAATGTTCCCTAAGGAGAGATGCTTGCTCATTGTAGTTTGCTTGGCAAATCTTGCAACTGCAGTGTTGGCCTTAAAAATTCAGCTCTCAGAAGGTCTTCCCTCAGTGGAGTTATTTATCACACCGTTCACATAATCCCAATAGCTGCTTTGTATCACAGAAATGAAGTGATTAGGCAAGGGAGTTTTTTAGTCTTGCAAAAAAGAGCTGAGCCTAATCAGACCACTACCACCTTTACTAGGAAAGCAAATTAGCATTCTTTTTTTTTTTTTAAAAGAATTATTTTATTTAACTTTATTTATTTATTTTAATTTGACCAGGGAGACAGAGTGAGCAAGAGTGAGAAAGCAAGCCACCAGGTCTGGGACTTGAACCGTGGTCGGTCATGTGGGAGTCCAGCGTCCTTAACCACCACGCCACCTGCCGGCCCCAACAAATGAGCATTCTTTTTACTAATTTTATTTTATAAAAAAGAAGTTGATTTCAATGAGCCAAAAATTAATCAATAGCAAAGTTGACTTTTGTTTTCTGATCATGCCCCACTATATTTCTAAAAAAGAGAGAGAGGCCTGCTGAATGGGGGGTGGGGTGGGGGAGAGATCTCTCAGGAAAAATCAGGTGTTCATTTCCTGGTCACTATGCTCGTTGATTTTCTATATCTTTCTACTCTAGAATACCAACCTGCAGTCGGCCATTGCAGAGGCTGAGCAGCGTGGGGAGATGGCTCTCAAGGATGCCAATGCCAAGCTCCAAGACTTGCAGGCTGCCCTGCAGAAGGCCAAGGATGACCTGGCCCGGCTGCTGAAGGAGTACCAGGAGCTGATGAATGTTAAGCTGGCCCTCGACGTGGAGATCGCCACCTACCGCAAGCTGCTGGAGGGCGAGGAGTGCAGGTGAGAGGCTGTGGGGTCAGCATTCTCTAGCTGCTGTTTAGAGTGACCTTTGATGACGAAGAAAGGGAGCAAGATAACGGGGAAAGGACAACTCAGGCAAAAGGCAAGGAGTCTCCTAAATTGAGTTAAAGGTTCAAGCCCCACTATTTCTTGTCAATAAAGATCATTCAATTTTCTATTTCTCTATCATGGACCTAAATAGAACATACTATTGACTATTATGTGCAATGCATTAGAAAAAGTGCTTTAGAGTAATGACAAAGATGACAAACCAGCGCTGTCCACTGGAACTTTCTGAGATGATGAAAATGTTCTATACCTGTGCTGTCCAATATAGTAGCCATTAGCTACTTGAGCACTTGAAATTTGGCTAGTGCAACTGAGGAATAAGTTTTATGTACAATTTAATTTTAAATGAATTTAAACAGCTTCATTTGAGTAGTGGCTCACATATTAGACAGTTCAGAAAAAGACAGTCCCATAATCCCTCCCCCCTGAAACCTTTGGGAAAGTATCAACAGACATACTCTTGTAAAATATTAAAATACAGCAGGTAAAGGCTTAGTGATAGCAGATGTTACAAGAGTGTCGAGAATTGTGAGATCACTTCATTGCCCTTTGCTCCATGCAACCCGTGTTCAGAACCTCTGTTCTCAGGCAGCTCCCAGTTTGATGGAGGAGATGAGAAGAAAAGGATTGTGAAATCTTTTCCACGGACAGGAGCCAGAGTGAAGATGGTGTTAGGTGTATTGAGAGTCACAGGTTGAGGAGGGAGTGGTCAACACCAGTAGGCATGCATTCTCAAGGTGTGTAGACACATTCCACATCTGCTCAGATACCTGGACGTGCTTACTTCATTAATAGGACAAGACACAGGAGGATGGGCAGCGTGGGTAGGACATTTTCAAGTGCATCACATGTGTCAGCCTCTCTCATATCTTCTCCACCTTGAACAATCATCAATTCCACCACCACCCCCAGAAGGGCTTAATGGGATAAAAAGCCAGGGTTGGGTAGAGAATGGGAAGGACAGGTAAAGGTAGGAGGAAGGCCTTTGTCGGCACTAAGAGGTGAAGACGGGCTCATCAAGATGGGGTTAGTAGCTTACCCAGAGCAGATACTCTTGAGGGTGTACAGATGGCAAGATGGTATGTGGTTGGTGTAGGCTCTGAAGGTTTCAACCTGAAGAAGCTTTCTTTTCTGGGGAGATCTGCTCTGGAAACAGATTTAGAATAGGCTTTCTTCTCCCAGGAGCTTGACCACTCGAGCAGGGCAAGTAGGAGAGGATGGCCCCCAAGGTAATAAACTCTCAGCTCTTTGGCCAGTGACTCATTGTGAAAATAATTCATATCTTCTCTTCCTTTTAGGATGTCTGGAGAGTGTCAGAGTGCTGTGAGCATTTGTAAGTAGCCTGTTTTAAACCCTTCTCCCTGGGTTATAAAAAAGGCAACTAGAAACATTCTCTGATCAACTTTCAGGAGAGAGGGCCTGACCCATCTGAGACCAGGCCACCTGATGGCATCTAGGGTCTCAGGCCTCAGTCACTTACTCTGCTCCTAGTGTAAGCTGGCAACCTCTCAGGCCAAAGCTAAAATCCCTATGGGCTTGTGGAATTACCTAGGTTGGAGAACCAGAGATTTCTGTGGGTATTTTCTGGCTCTTGATCTTGGGAAAAGGGCAGCAGAGGGCCAGGCTCACGCTCATTACTTGCAAACGGAGGCCTTAGAGAAAGTTGAGCAACCTTCTCTAAGTTGAATAGCTAAGCAGGGTGGGGTTGGGAGACAGACCCAGGTCTCCTGCATCCCAAGCCTTTACCCCAAGTTGAGTGCCTGTTTTCTTGCAGCGGTGGTCAGCAACGTCACCAGCACCAGCAGCAGCTCTGGTGGGAGCCGTGGAGGTTTCAGTGGCAGCAGCAGCGGTGGATACAGAGGCAGCAGCAGCAGCAGCAGCAGCAGAGGTGGCAGCGGTGTCTACGGAGGAGTCAGCAGTGGCAGCAGCAGTGGGGGCAGGGGTAGCAGCCGG